TTTAAAAACTTTGAAAATTACGAATATCGCGAAACGGCACAGGACTTTCTTATTCATTTCAATCCATTCTACGTTCTCACCAAGGGTCATCATAGAGGTTCGGGACATCCTGTATACGTTGCATTTTTTTCTCATAATCCGTCAACGGTGTTAACTGTTTAACGTTTTCCAGATTCTGTGTTGAAGATTTTTCAAGAACGGTAAGCGTTTAAGCTATAGTGTTATCTATTTGTTTATACAGGGTGAATATTATATACCGGAACACCTGAATATCTCGAAAACAAAACGTTGTATAAAAAAATGTTAAATACAAAAGTTGTAGGGTTTAAAAAGATCTATTTTATGATATTAGCAGTTTGACCTTGAGTTGCGTCATAAAGATCAGGTCAAGGTCACAATGATGTTTTTAAATGGATACCCCCATTTTTTATTGTATATTCTTGTAGCTTATCTCGAGAGCTTTCCAAAACACTATACTTAAGTATTTTTTCGTTAAGTACTTTTCGAGTTAAGAGGCTTCAAAGTTACGCTCTTTAGCATTAGCGCGCGGCCGATTAAGGCAAGAGGAAAATCATATCCGGCCGATTAAGGTAAGCTAAGGCAGAGAAAAACGTAAACACAAGCGCGGTAAACGAGAGCTGCCCTTGCGTTTACGTTTTTTAGGCCATCAGCCTTACGCTATTTACTATTAATACGAGCGCGCGTTCGTGCTCGTCACTACGGTATCCACGCGCGCTAATGCTAAAGAGCGTAACTTTGAAGCCTCTTAACTCGAAAAGTACTTAACGAAAAAATACTTAAGTATAGTGTTTTGGAAAGCTCTCGAGATAAGCTACAAGAATATACAATAAAAAATGGGGGTATCTATTTAAAAACATCATTGTGACCTTGACCTGATCTTTATGACGCAACTCAAGGTCAAACTGCTAATATCATAAAATAGATCTTTTTAAACCCTACAACTTTTGTATTTAACATTTTTTTATACAACGCTTTGTTTTCGAGATATTCAGGTGTTCTGGTATATAATATTCACCCTGTATAATAATTTTATATACACGTACAGAAATTAGTATAATAATTAGTATAATTAATATAATTGGTATAATAAATAGTGTAATAATTATTATAATATGAAAAACCATGATTTTGATCTGAGTGCACTGAGAACTGTATTTTATAACTACGTAGTGGAGTAATAACCCGCACAACACAACGTCTAAAATCGAGACATATGTTCTTAAAACGTCTTAAAGACATTTACGTCTTGACTTTGGACGTTGTATTATGTGAATATGTTTGGGAAAATCTTTTACACGTATATTACTATTTCTTTTTTTACTTTTTCTATTAAAACATCGAAATACAGTTAGCGCAAGGAGGTATAATGGTAAAAAAGGCAGTTTTTTGCCTACCAAAATAAGCGTGAAAACGTTACCATTTTTTGCTTACTAATTTTGACTAGCTAAATACAGTGGTAAAATCCAGTATCAATTAGATGACTGACTTCCGATATCTAAAATGGCGGATTTTATATGGCGCATTTTAAAATAAAAATTTGTTACTTCTATAAATCAAATGTAGAGACACAAACTTTTTTTTATTATTAAGGAAGTATAATGGTAAAAAAGGCAGTTTTTTGCCTACCAAAATAAGCGTGAAAACGTTATCATTTTTTGCTTACTAATTTTGACTAGCTAAATACAGTGGTAAAATCCAGTATCAATTAGATGACTGACTTCCGATATGTAAAATGGCGGATTTTATATAGCGCATTTTAAAATAAAAATTTGTTACTTCTATAAATCAAATGTAGAGACACAAACTTTTTTTTATTATTAAGGAAGTATAATGGTAAAAAAGGCAGTTTTTTGCCTACCAAAATAAGCGTGAAAACGTTATCATTTTTTGCTTACTAATTTTGACTAGCTAAATA